GGCAGGCTACACAGCTGTCATTACACTGACATAACACTGGCAGAGGTTTATAGGTGAGGGTGAAATGGGTTTTAATAAGCACACACTGGGGCGCAGATAACGTAGGAGCCAAGAGCGTCTGAGACAACACATTTCACAACGCTGTGCAGTTAGTTGAAATGTTTGGTGGTTTTGAGTTAATTGCCAAAAAGTTATGATCCTAACCTTAATCATCTGACTAGACCAGGCAGTTGGATCTTTACTGAAACTACAAATTTTGGCATCTGGGACGCTGTGAGTCCAGGAGCTGACTCTACAACTGCACTTAACTCTTTACCCCTTAAAGCCTACTACGTCTTACCCTCAAAGCTCTTTTATGAACGGAGTGGTTTCTGTCATTTCTCAGGCTTATAGAACAAAATGACTGAGTGTGCATCAGCAGTTGGTGAAGGTGGCCTCTGTTGATGCAGACAAACCATTCTAGAGCTGGTCAAACCGTTTTTATTGGTGTGTATATACCAAGGTGTCAAAGCTCGTCATAAAGGGTACCCGGAAGGTTGTCAGATGTCTTGATGGGGAACAGAGTTAAAAGATGAGCTTCAGTCAGCAGAGCAGACCTGAGGTTACTGACTTGACCACTTATTCTTCCCCTGTTCTCAACAGGTATACATGGTGCTACGACCACATGTGAAGGAGTTCCTGCAGGCCATGGCAAAAATCTACGAGGTGTGTGTCAGTGTGTAGATTAGCAAATAGTTTGGTTATTTTGAGCCTCATTCACACGTTAAACAAATTAATTTTCTCTCGCTGCTTTAACGTGGAGCAGTTAAAAGTGTGGAATTGTACCAACTGCTGTGCGTGCTCTGTTCCAGCTGTTCGTTTACACGTGCGCGAAGAAGGAATATGCCGAGAAGATCCTGGACATCCTGGACCCGCAGAGAAAGCTGTTTCGGTATGAGCTGCTTCCACTTGTGTTTTGTAAACTCGGTGCAGATTCGCACTGCTGCTGTGTCGCGTGCTCAGAAATTCGACATGGCCTGCTTCAAATGTTCCCTTTAACATTCTGCCCGTGCCATACAGCGAGGACGGTAAATGTGAGTTTCACTTATGATTTCTCTGGTAGACACCGGCTGTATCAGGACGACTGTGCCTGTGTTCTTGGCCACTACATCAAAGATCTCAGCATCATCGGGAGGGATCTGAAGAAGACGGTGGTTCTGGATAATGCACCCCACACATATCCATATAATGTAAGTTTAAAGGCTGTGTTCTTTGATTTTCTCTGAGCCCCACTTGAATGACTGAACTTCTCACCCTGTGCTAACAGAGACCCGTCCGCCCTTCGGAGAAAGCTCATTGCACCAATTGTATCCACTATCTCATTCTTCGAGCTAACAGTAACAGTATAAAGAATGAGACCAGGCTCAGATATTGAGACTTTAGCTCCATCTGGTGGCAGATGGCTGCATAACATTTATGACACAACAACTTATGGTAACTGGGCATCAATTAAAATGTTAATAATTAGACTAAATGACAACGTCTGGCATCGACTGACAGTAGTGACGATTATTCATCTTGTTGACTATTCGCACACATCCTTAATTAATTACTTTGTTTTGCTCTGTCAGCACTTTGTTGCTGTTACTGACTTTTAATAACATGTTTGTTTGTTTTTTGTAGTTGTTGAACACGATTCCCATCAAGAGCTGGTCTGGGGAGTCTGATGACAGAGAGCTGCAGAAGCTCATCCCCTACATGGAGAAACTGTCTGCAGCTGTAAGTCTGCTTACATCTTCTGTGTTTACTGTGCGCTTGTTTAAAATGGATTCAGAGGCAACAACATGTGCTTCCTCCTTCACCGCTTCCACTCTCACTGCACCAGCATCATTGTTTTTGGTCCCAGCAGGCGGCTGTTTTCAGAGAAAACCCCCGCTGCTCTGCAGGTGCTGCTCTGCACCGGACAGCAAACCCATACAGATGGCATTTATCAGTGCCTCACGTTTACTTTAGAGATTATGAGAGAACGAGAGCAGATCTTGGAGAGTAAAAGTGTGAGTTACAGTAGTCAACTGGACACAAACGCAAACCAAATTAAAGGATTGAGCTTTAAGGTCCGCATCAAGTCGAACTGTATGCTAGTGTTGTTTCTGCTGCCGCCAAGTGGCCACTCACGTTGTTACGTGAGTTACAGTTAACAAAAAAGATTTTAAAATGAATATAAAATTCAGATAAGTAGCTTTGATCGTCAGCTTTAGTGCAGGCCTCTCGTCCGTGAGCCTGCTTCCTGCGATCTATACAGACGTTTAGATGTGTGGCAGGCGGACACTTAAGCGACTCAGAGCTCATTTGCATCGGTTTTGTTAAACAAATGTTTAATCGTCTGTGTGATGGTGCCTGTGATGAGATGCAAGCGTTTGTCTTTAATCTCACGAGATTCAAACATGCTAGTGTGTTTTTTCTGATGTCTGTTATGTAGCTGCAGTTAATAATTGTCATGAACTATTAATCTATCATGTACAACAAAGAGTTCTCACATGCTCGCATTCGATAAACTAGAAAATCTTCATCATTTAATACAATGATTGATTTATCTTAATAGTTGAGGCTGTAAGAATGCACGGTAACTGGCGTGGCTCTCTTACAGCACATTTCTACTTAGCCCTAGTACAAGTCTCATTTATGCTTCACATTCATTTGTGCCTCACAGACTGGACACGTGAATATGGTGAGATACATGTTGTAATATTCGGCGGATCCACACTGAGTTTAGTTTTTTATTGTCAGTGTTATAATTTGGCCCCTTGTTTGAAAACTTTGCTGCATAAACCTGTCCATGTTTGGGATGAGTCGCACGCTGCGCTCGCTTCCTGTTTTATGTGAACATGCTGATGGCTGGAGCGGAGAGGCCCGGGCTGGCTCGCTGAGTTGATAACCTTGTCGTGTAGCTGCTCAGCGTCACCGTGCTTGTGGTTTGGTGAGGACAGATAGTGAAAAGATATTCTGGGCATGCCGGGCAGGCTAAGTGCTACAGACTCAGATTGTCATAGAGAAAATGGATTTTCCTTTTCTTTTAGGGTTGTTGTTGATTCCCCGGTCAGTGAGCTGTGAGTGAAACAGCTGGTTATCTGCAGAAGCATCTGCCTGATGTCTTTCCTCCCCCGGTTTCATGATTGACTCTGAATATCTGAATATCTCTCGGTGGTGTTTTTTCAGGAGGATTTTCGGGAGGTGCTGAAGAAGAGGAAGGATCACTTCCACAGGCTGCTGTCAGAGGACTGACAAACCCCCCACTTTGACTGCTTAATGTGACTTTCACAGCCCATGTTTGCTTTGGCGAAAAGGCAGAAGCCAGTTGGACCTTGGTAACCTGCAGACTGTTGGTTTGTGGTGGACCTGTGCGCCCTCCTCCATCCTCCCCCGTCCTCCCGTTGGCTTGAAATGACAGCAGAGCGGTGTTTCAGACATGCTGCTGGTCGCTCAACAGATGTCCTTCTCCTGGACTCATTACACAAGCAATAAACTCATATCTGTGTGTATATATATATTTACAGCTCAGAATCCAAAATATGTTGTTTATAGTCATGATTTTTTTTTTTAATTTATTGATTATATTGCAAATCTACAGCTGTTATCTGTATATTTTAAAATGTTTTCTTATGCAATAAAATATCCCTGATAATAACTGGGGGAAATAAAGCATTCATGCCTAGGTGTCATTTAATTTTCAGATTTAGATTGTTATTTTATATGATCCACTTATCTTCAGTTGTTGAAATTTTTCATTGAGCATACAGATGACTGTGAGGAAGAGGAGGAAGCGACATGTTTGGAGAACACATGGGCTCAGGGAGGCTGAACTAAAAGAGAGTCAGACAAAAAGAAATATTAATAAAGTTGCGGTGATTGAATTGAAATTGAATTCCAATCATTCCACGTTCAGGTCTCCCTATTTTTCAAGGGTGAAAGTCGTGTGTTTCCAGGAAACGCTCCTCAACATAGCGAAAAGCAGCGATGTGAGAATTTCCTCTAAGGAAACATCCTGTAATAGGATTTTCAAAAGGTCTGCTTTGTTTCTCAGGCATGAAATAAATAGATTTTCAAAAATCTCAGCTGCTCTCTGCAGGTATCTGTAACCCTTTGAACATCTGCACCGCTGCAGCAGAGCTTTAAACTGCGCAAACCCTGCTCATCACTTCCTGTTAAGGAGGAAATGGAAGTGTCACAAGGGCAAGTGGAAAGATGGTAACGCATGCGCACACCTTTCCTAGATCACTCCTTTATTACCATTGGTAATCTGATATTCACTGACAGCACATTAAGCATCCCAGGATCCATGTGTGAGACTTCATTCACCAGTGGCTTTTATGTATTGTTTGTGGGCAAAGATGTTAAATGCTTTTCTTTATCTATTTGGTGAGAAATTCCAGGAATCAGATGTTTAGAGAAAATGGGGCATGCGCAGTAAAGTTACACACAATCCAAAAAAGTTTGGCGTCTGTTCGTCGCGCCCGACGCCACCGAGGAGTTATCAGTGGTGGACTGTTGGAAGTTGGAGTGACTGATAATGAAAAGCCCAACAATATCAGAAAACAACACAATGACGTCTCTATAACCTTAATTTTGAAAAGTTCATCACTTATTATTGAGTGAAAAGACTTTCTATAAACGGGTTGTCTGTAGTAGCTGATGCTGTCTGAGTGAGCATTAATATACTCGGAGTTCACGCACTCATCCTGTGTATGAATATCAGGCGCGCCGAGGTTTGGTTTCATTGTAAATATTTACTGCCCTGTTTAGACGCACTCGTGTTCGTGATGGATGTGATTGTTCATGTTGAATTTGAAGGTAAACTAAAAGTAAGTGCCTCCTCCTCCTCCTCTTGCTGCTGCCGCTCCTCTGCCTTTATTTGCTCCATATGGTGTTTGACATGGTACCCAGGAAGGAAAAAAAAAAAACTTGTGTGGGCGGAGGAAAAAGCCTAGTATTTTGTCCGTCCTGAAATTTGATTCAGAAGTTCGGGATCCTGGAAGACAAAAAGCAAACGGAGGGGGAGGGAAGAAAGGCAGACGAGGACGGAGGGGTTTTTTTTAAACTGCGAGGAGAGTAAACTCACCCAAATACTCCGCAACCTCTGACTAAAGTAAGTTCATTTATAAGAGTAACGCTTCTTGTTCTGCTGATCTGCACATTTGGGCATTTCGTTTCGCCAAAGTGAGGCAGGTTTGTCTGTGAAATGAAATGAATCGCTTTAATTGCTGCTGGATGCCACAAAATACACGATTCGTGATTTGTGAATGACCTGTCCTTTACGCGTAGCTTTCACGCGTGCGTTTCCCCCTCATTTGATTTATTTATCTATCAATAAATGAGGTGTTTCCTGCAGCTGCTACACTGAGCCCGAGAAGCTTCGTGGAGGAGGCATCGTATAAAGTTTTTGTTTTCAGAGAGTGGCTCAACACTGAAGGGAAAGTTATTTTTCAGCGGGTTTTAAAGCCACATACCCCTCTCCGCCCCCTACGCGCCACATCCAGGCCAGCTCCGATAACCGCCACCGACATTTATTCCTCCAGACCTTCAAGCCCCGTGGCTCCTAATTGATCTCTATACATGGTAAGGTCCTCGCTTGTTTGGAGAAACGTCGCCGTGCGCGCCCGCTCTGCGCCACAGTTGGTTGTGCGCCAAGAAAACCCACAGAAAAATGCTCCAGATTCAATCTGCAGATGTTAATGAAGCCTTTGAAGACAAAGGCGCGTGACTGATGTTATTTTACGCACACCTGGCAGACGCTTTTGTCCAGTAAGTGCATTTTATGTGCTTTAGAGTTCATAAGTGCTGGAAACATTCGTCCGTGTGTATGCATATGTGTAGAAAACAGTCATAAATGAATATGTATTTATAGATTCGATTTACTGTGTTTGTTGTGCAGTTGTAATACAGGAAAAGGTACAGTGTTACAATAACTGAATAGGATTATTTGTGATATCAATAGTGGAGTTGAAGTAGTCCATAAAGGAGATGTTCCAGTAAGCTGCTTCTGTGCTTTTTTAGACCTTTTTCACTAACTTTCACATCTCTGGTTCAGTTTCACATCATGAGATGGGAACAGGTGAAACGTTGCCCTGTTTCATCCTCCACAGTTCTCTTAGAAGAAAGCTAAAGTCTGACCTCACAGTAGCAATGTAACACAAGATTTTCCATGAATCCACGAGTTTCTGAATTGAAATCCCATCAGTGTTATAATCCTGTGTTTTTTTGGATTTGAAATATGTGTTTTTAAAATTTGTAGCTTCTAAAACTTTGGTCAAAGCTGCCAGGACAGGAAATACTTTTTACAAGATGCCGAGAACTTATCAGTACTGAAGGGACGTGTAGTGACATCCACACTTCAAAATATAACTTTAGAGCTTCCTGATGGTGACACACTGAGCAGTCGGAGCACTTTGCTCTCAAGAAAGATTAGAAACAGGGGGGACGTTATGTGAATACTTCCAGTGCCTTTAAATCTTGTTAATAAACACATTATGTCTCATTTGTTTAATCAGTATGTGAGTAAATACACATTTAACATTTCTCTCTGTTTCAGTTTTGCTCGGCAGGTCAGCTGTTTGCTGTAGCTTCATGGTTTTGGGCTTCTTAGCTGCCAAAATATTGATTTGCTCCTTTTAGGTGAAAACGGTCAAAGCATATTTATTACACCTCTGCAGTGCTTTCCATTTTACTACATAGATATTTGAGTCATCCTGCTGCGAAATACGAGCCAAAAGGAAGCTTTTAACTAATAATAAGCTCCCTCCAAAGTGTTGAAACCTGCAGATTCACACAGTCTCATGTGTAATACGTTTAAAGGATGCAGGGCAACAGCGCGGTGCACGCCAGCCACCTTCTGGACTTCCCGCTGTAGATCATAAAGCTGGAGTCTGCGATTATTGTGACGTGCTTCGGTGTGCACGAGAGTGTGACGCATTCGTGTGCTGATTTCCGGAGTTTCTCTACTGACAGGGATTCAAACCTGATGAGAAAGTGTTCCCAACAGAAACAGGGGAAGATAAACTTTGACATCCTGTCAGTGATGATTATTGTATAACCATGTGCATAAACCCATAATTTCCTCTATCCTCCCCCCCAAAAAAGCCCGCATAAAGTCCCAGTGAAGTTTTTGAGTGTAAGCGTCTCCCTCAGCGCTGACCTTTCCCCTGAGGTCAGGGCTGTTCTGGTCAAGACAAACAGATTCCTGAAGCAGGATATAAATTGGGCCTTACAGGTAGAAGAAAAGGGCAAAGACAACAGAGGCTTGAAAGAAAGCGGATTACTGACGATGTTTAAGGGAAAATAAAGATGAATCACTGTGTTTCCTCGGGGATATTTTTTCAGACGTGTGTATTAATCAAGCTTTTCTGACACTTTGGGGAATTAAGGTGATTTTCTCCCTCACTCTTTTCGCTTTCCGCAGTCTGATGTTTTAAACTGATCTTGGCCTGATTTCCACCTGGACCTCTTCCTGCTCCTCTCAGGCTCTGTGACTATGAGCACCTCGGGGCTTCAGGCCACTAACCGGCAGAATGCGAAGGAGCTCGACAGCATGAAGGAATCCATCAGCGATATCATCAACCAGCTCCAGGACATCGACCCGGCCAGGCTCTCCTTCTCCCCCTTCCTGGATCTGGACACTCAGATCTCTTTGGCTCCGGTGTCAGACAGCCCCGAGTCATCGGTGGAGGAGCTGCACTCGTCCTCCCACTCTGTCTCCGGCTCCCAGCGCTCGCTGGAACCGCCACCAGCGACGGATCAGCCAAGGAGTGAGTTATTGCCGCTGCTTTTTACTGTCTCCTCGTCGGAGCTGTAGGATTTGAAGGGAGGCCAGAGCAAATTAGCAAAAGCTAAAGTCGGATTGAGTCCAGGCTGGATCCAAATAGAGTTAGGACAGAGCCTGCAGAGGAAAAAAAGCATTGTTTGTGTTGAATGGAATAAGTTAAGTGCAATTATATCACAAAAACATTAAGAAAAAGTCAAGGATTTTCCAGAAGAGAAAAAACTTTTAAAATCCTTGACTTTAGTCAGATTTTGGAAAAATCAGCTTTTAATTCTGGGTAAAATATCATAAAAACTTGAGTTGTGCTTTAGGAAATGGAGCTTTTTTTGTAAACAAGACAAACATTCTTATAATTAGATTTAATATTTGCGTGACAGAACCAAGTCCAAGCTGTAAGGGAAACAGTTAAAGTTGGTGTTGGTGGGTGACTCCCATCTGTAATGTGAAGTGTCCAGATGTTTGTAACCCTTCTCAATAGCTTCTGGTGTTTAATGGGTGCTGTTTTGTGTCCTTGCAGCAGCGGCGGTCTGGATGTTTTTACGTTTCGGTCCAAATCCTTTTTCTAGAGCTTTAATTTGTGTCTGAGGGCTTCTGTTGGTCTTTGGGCTCTCTTCTGCATATCGCACCCGTCAGATGCTTAATTAGAAGTGAATGAAATATAATGAAAATTAAAGATGACACGTGGTTTTTGTGGCAGTCGGGATGCACCTCATGATGTACGACTTTACTTTTTATAAACAAATCCCATTTAAAGACCAAAACCAACAGCGAGTTGGTGCGACCGTCTACACTTTAGATAGATAGATTTTTAAAGAAGTATCTGTACAGGACTATTTTCTGTGTATTAAAAAACAACCCTTTAGTTAAACTATGTCACACTTTTAGTATACAGAAAATTTAATTCCTTTCATTGGTTGTTGGTTGTTTTGGTCCTTTTCATTAGATTATTTGACAGTAATGCAAATACACTCACATCGACCCGTCCAGGCTCTGCTTCTCCCCCTTCCTGGATCTAGACCTTCAGATCTCTTTGGCTCCGGTGTCAGACAGGCCAGTTCATTAGGGACACCTTGCTAGTACCAGGTTGGGGCCATTTTTTTTGTCTTCTGGTTCTTTTAGGGCATTGATTTAACAAGGTGCTGAAGTTTGATTGAGATTTGTTGGCTGCATATCCATGACATCAATCTCCCGTTCCACCACATCCCAAAGGTGCTCTATTGGATTGAGATCTGGTGACTCTGGAGGCCGTTTGAGTGCAGTGAACTGATTATCTATCAGCTCGGAGCGCTCTAAAAGGTCACCTCTGACATCAACAAGGCATTTCCATCCAGAGTGCTGCTGCTCACTGGATTGCTTCCCTTCATCAAACCATTGTGTTGTGCAAGAAAATCCCAGCAGATGAGCAGTTTCTGAAATATTCAGCTCAGCCTGTCTGACACCGACGATCCTGCCGCATGCAAAGTCACATAAATCACCTTTTCTTCATCCTAGTGTTCAGTTTGGTTTTGATCATGTCTTCACAACTAAATGCACTGAGCTGCTGCCATGTGATGGACCTAATAAAATGGCCCGTGAATGCATATATCATTACTACAGCTCAACCAAAGATGAATTAAAGTTCAAAGCAATTATTAGACTCTTTATTGGTTCATTTAAATGTTTTGATATATCTTTTTTTCCACACATATTTTCAGTAGCATTGAAATGACTAGAGAAATAAATAAAACATAAAACAACATTTAACCTTAGAACTGAAGCTTCTCGGATGAGAGGTGAAACGTCTTCAAGCAACTTAAAGAAGTCCAGACGCTTTTCTTTGCAAGCTCCTTTGACTACGATGACCTGGATGACTGAGAACCTTCACAGACAATAAAAAACCTTTCAAATATAGATTTCACAAAGCCAGCCTGTTAAGGACACTGTGTATTAGGCTAATATTACTGTTTACATGCTTCGAATACTAAACTATGAACAGTCATTTATGAGCAGGCCATCAGCCTGCAGAAATCCAGCCTTATAGTAAATGTGTGAGCACCGCAGTTCAACCATGTAAACTAGAGGTGCCACTAATTGCTTTTTGTGTAACTTTGTGACACTAGCTTCTTTTCACTGATCAGTGTTTGCTGGACAATTAGTGGGCAGGCCTAACCACCATCAGAGTAATCTTGTATGAACAGTTTATGTGAGTATTTTGACTCTGCTTTGTATTTAGAAAGTAAGAAAGTGAATGATTGATTGGAGTAAGTCTGCAGCTGATTGCTTTTGATGTTTTTTTTTTTTTTAAATGTGCTCTGATTCGAACAGGCTCTGCTCCTTGCCACCAGCAGTCTGGCGTCAGTCTCCCACAAGAGCCTCGAGCGCATCGTGGGGAGGAGGGGGAGCTGGATCAAACTCTTTCCAGTCCTATCATCACGGCGCGCAATTTGGACGCCGCCACGGAAAACTGCGTCGGCCCTCCAACCCCGGCCTCTCAGGGAGACATTCCCAACGGCACAGACGCACCGAGATGGAGTCCAGAATCCACCAATCTGGACTGCACTGTGGACGAGGGTCGGCCTCTGATAGGGCCGCCGCCGGAGAGCGTGGAGCTGGCTGTGTGGAGCCCAGAGGGCCGGGGAGAGACTTGCGTGGCTGCGCGGGAGGCTTCGGATCGGGGGCAATGCCGCTGCTGCCAGTGCACATGCTGTCAGAGCAGCCGAGTCCCCGCTTTCTTCTCGGTGCTGGCCTCGCTTCTGTGTGCGTCCGGGATCCTCTATGCACTCTATTTCTACGTGCCCATCAAACCCCCTGACTTCCCTGACGTAACCAGCCGCATCATTTTCACCTTGTGCTGCTGTGTGGTGGCCGCTGTCCCCATCCTGCTCGGTATGCGTCTCACAAACACACACACACCTGCATGCTGACATTCAAAAACAGCCATGTGAGAGCCTTGAATGAAAGATAATGATTAAGAAAGGATTTGGTTTGTCTGGCTGCTTTGTCTTGGAATGCTTCAGTGTCTCCTGACCTCTTTAATTTCATGCGCTTTCAGCCTCAGTAGCAGCAGACATCTCCCAGGCCTCTGGGGAGAAGCATAATTTCCTTCTCCTTCACATAGCTTTAAATGGAAACTACAATAAGAGGCTGGCTGTGTCCCTCATCTCCCAGGCTGTGGCCTAATTGTTCGAGAACATTTTAATCACTTCCCAACCGAGAGTGACTCGGGATAAGAGGGCAGGTGGTAAGAAAAAAAAAACAGGTCAGGCTGGTAGCTGTGAGGAGCATTTGCATGTGGGCCAGTCTGCTGGCGTTTGCTTCACATTCAAATGATGGAATTGCAAAAACAAAGTGTGCTGTCAGGATGAGCGCGCTGTTTGCGGAAAGATGGCCCAGATTCAAGATGCTAACTGACTTATTGCTTCTTTATCCCTCGCAGCGATGCTCATGGGTGCAGCCTGCCAGTTCTGCAACGGCTCCTTCGATCTGCGGGAGTCGTTTCCCAGAAGAGGTGCGGTTCAGCAGCTTTTCGTCACCACATCCCTGGAGCAGTTACTCCTCTATGTCCTGAACCTTGTTGTTATGGCTGCGTTACTGCCTCAAGACCAGCTGAAGTTGGTGCCTATCCTGGTCATAATGTTCATCTTTGGAAGGTGAGGCTCAAAAGCGAGAAAGATGGGGTTGGTCCGACCTTACCGGATGCACGATTAGTTTTTCCTTTCTTCCCCTTCTGTGGTCACTCTCTTCCCCATTCTAGCCATTTGAAGTACCCACTGTGGATGGGCCTGCTAGCTGCTGGCTTGTTGGAGGACTTTACATAAACGTCTCAGCAGCCTCCGCGTCAGCTGAATTTCCATAATCCTTCTATCTGCGTAGCCGGAGTGCTACACAAATAAGGACCAATAAATCCGCCTAAAAGTCAGGTCTAGAATAACTCCACACTGTTACACACAGATCACTTTGTTCCCAGCAAAGAACTCTGACATTTTAAGATGAGACCGTGATGTCTGCACAGAGAGTTAACCCTGTAACGCCACGTGTATCATATTTGACTTTTTGAGAGCTTTACATCACCAGCAACACATTTTTAAGTAATAAATAGTGGATTTGGCAAATACGATATAAATGAAACCCCATATATGCAGATTAATATTTAATATCTTATTTTTTTTATTTGGCAGAAAAGTCGATAAAGACAGGCTTTATTGAATATTACACCTGCAACAACCTAAGAGTTTACAGCCATGCTGGCAGCCAGGCTTTCCTGTGAGCCCAGTGTTGTCATCAGTGTGCAAACGTGCCAATTAGTGAGACTTTTTTCTGCTTCACAGACCAGAATTGAGAAAAGTCCAGAGTTAGTACACTGTGCAAAATGCCAACCCCATGTTGAAACTAGACAGAGGTAAAGGGGACCAAGACCAGTTGTCAAAAGGTTAATGACTTTTTGTTACAGTTGCAAAAATAAAAAGGAAACCCATTTTGAGCCAGCACTTTCAGGAAAGGTTATTGAAAGATGTTTCAGTGATCAGTAGTTCACGCAAAAGTGTGACAACCACACACGTTTTCTCCAAAGGCAACGGAGTTTATCCTCTGTGCACCATAAATGACGGCGATGGCGGTGAGATAGTTATTTTAGTCCAAAGCGATGCACCGACAGGCTGACACTGCCGTTTGTAGAGCCACGCCACTGACAGGGCTAAAAATGAACACAACCACTGTCATTAACAAACCCAAAGAGAAGCTCTGGCTCTGCGTCACAGAGCGGTGCAGAGCTCAGACTGCGAGCCTCAAAATTTGCCAGTTTTACAAAGTGAAGTTGGTTTGTGCATCTGATTTATCAACCCTCTTATTAGATATTAGTTAGGCCTCATTTGTGACCTCTTGAAGTTTTGTCTCCTTTACTTTGGTCTCTGAGATCTGAATGAAATGCAGCATCTGTCTCTTAACCTGCTTATTTAAACAGCCCGTCGCTGACTGCGTCTGCACTGCTGTTTGATGCTGGACGGGTATTACTCAGTTGGTTTTTAAAGCTGAGCAGCTGTCTGCCGTGGCCAGTAAAAAACAAGAGTACAAAAAACACCAGTAAAACTGTGGTTTCGAAAGTTGCTATAAACTGCTGAGAGCTGTTTGTGTTATTGCACCCACTCCCAACAAAGGTCAATTTATGACCCTACAAATCGATTGTAGCAACATTTATTGCAGTGCATTGAAAGGCGTATATGTATTTTGGGAGACTTTATTTAAAAATATGGAGTTATTAAACATGTCTGGCAGACTGAGCTTAGCCGATTGGAGGTAACGCTGGTGGGGAAGCTGTGAGTGTCTGATTTCCTGTTTGATGTTTTCTTTTCGTGCTCCTCAGGCTTGTTTACTGGGTCGCCCTGAACACGTGCGTCTCCTGGCGAGGCTTCGGCTCCGGCCTGAGCGTCTTCCCGCTCCTCGCCATGGTGGCTCTTAATCTGTTCCTTGTGTACATGCTCCATCTCAGAGAGCCACTTTTTGGCTCACAGGACGTCCTCTATAATCAGGTCACCCCCTCTTCCTGGTCATCACAGAGCCCGAGTGCCACACCAGACATCCTGGACGCTCAGTGAAGAGGCGAGCTGCCTGCTTCCTTCTCCGAGAGGAGGAGATCTTTCCAAAAATAGCCCATTCCTGTGGTCTGCAGTTCAGCACAGCTACCCGTGCTGCCACTGCAACCTCCGACTCTGTGATGGCTTGACTTGTGTTTTCTTGCTCCTCCCTATACACAACCTTTTATGTGGATTCATGCTTATTATCTGAAATGCAAGAGCTCCGCCTGCTAGTGGCCGGGGACGCCTTTGAACAATGCTGTAGTCATAAAACATTTGTCCTTTTAAGCTATTCCTGTGCCTACATTTAATGTTTTGAACTCTAAATACTTAAAAGCTCTGCTATATATACATACATATGTATGGCTGGATTTGGTTTGACCGAAACACGAGCAAAGCAGCTGCAGTTGTCAGACTTTATTATTATTTGACAAAGTTTGTACATGATGAAGACAGAATAAAAGCCATTTTGTAAAAAAAACAAACAAAAAACAAATGAAAAAATGTCTTGCTGTTGTTGGTTTTCCATTGACCGCTCTTTGCTTTTGCCTTGGCTGAGCGTCTATTCCTGGAGAGACAGCGGCGTGCGTTTTCAGAGCTGGGACTGTCATTATGTGATAATAACGTGCTCCATCTCCACCCTGCTGGCGTCCTCGCTGCTGCTGATGAACTTGCTCGGTTTGTGGCACCAAAACGGGGCCAAAACAAAAACGAGATGAGACGCAGTGCGTTTCGTCTGACAACTGACACTCGACTGAAGAATACCCAGGGATCCAGATTACTATAATTACAGCAGATTTATTGACCCGAGGTATTCACTGAATCTGAATGCATATTTTTCACCGTCAAATCCAGAGATTTATTTGAGTTAGCAAATAGCAGTAAAGATTGAACCACACTCACGCACGTTACAAACAACCTGCACACAGGTTTGTCAGCGTCAGACTAAATAACCGGCTCTGAAGGTATCTGAGCACGGAGCACAGTGAGAGGGGAACACAGACGTTTTGATGCGTTTCAGAGTGAATGCCTAACATTATTTTGCAAATGACGGTTTATTAAAAGACCTTTAATTTCCTTTCTTATGCATTAATGTGCAAAAGTCTTGAGCCACCACTCTTTTGTATTTCTTCAAAATATTTTGCTTCCAAGCAGCCAGACTGTCTGGTCATTTTTAAAAGCGATAAAAAGGCACCTAACTCAGCAGATGAACCTGCATTGTTTAAATGTAACACTTGGCAAAGAAATTGTATCTTAGTAGCAGAATGTCACAATAACTCATAATTTATTCCAGTTTCTTTAGTTGAATCTACAAAAAAAATCCAAAGAAAGTAACATTTTTGCCATAACAAAGTGAATCCCAAAGAGCCACGAGCCAGAAACTGGGCATGGTGAGCAGAAACAGGACAAATGGGGGACTAAAGAAGAAGTCATGTCCATCTACTGACCATCAGACGTGGTCTCAGTGGGAGGATGGATGGATGTCAGAAACCATTCTTAAGAAAGGGGAACGGGAAGAAAAGGCAGTGGTATGTCAAAGTATGTCAACTCTATGGAATCAGAAAACAGAACGAAAGAAAGTCGACATCCAAAGAAGAGCTTTGAGAAGTCTGGAGAAATATTCCAGAAGAAAGAAAGTTTGCCTGAGAGTTCAGACTGTGTTGAAGAATAAGTCAAGTCAACCATGTACAGTGGTACAGTACAGAGTACTGGTGCTACACATGACATATAATGGACCAACACGGGACTACGTAAAAGCGCAATGTGCAAAAAATTGCAAAAATAAACACGACAAGACAACACTACAACACTAGACAGAACAGGACGATACAGACACAACACAGTGTAATGGAAATGCGCAAAATGTTGAGTATTGTGCAAAAGTAACTTGGGGTTACTTGGAGAGAGAGAGAGAGAGAGAGAGAGAGAGAGAGAGTGAGAGAGATACTGCAGATAAGTGCTTGGTAGTGATGTGTCTGTCAGCTTGGGGGAAGAAACTGTTCCTCAGTCTGGCAGTGAGGACCTGGATGCTCAGCAGGGTGAACAGTGTGTGTGTATAAATAATAAAGGTGGTGAATAAAGGTGGTCACACCAAATATTGACTTTTTTAAGCTTGTTAGAATTGTACAAACTGTTTTTGTCTTCTGTATTTCCATGCATGTTTGCAGATGTTTCACCTATTTCCCATTTTCCTAGCAAAATATAAAGAAATTAGCTCAAGACTTTTGCACAGGACTGTATATAGCATCAAATTTGGGGATTTCCTCAACATGTTTCCAAACAACTTTGAATAAACTTCATCTGTTACAAACTTCCTGTAAGCTGCTTTCAGAGTCAGCTGAAGTTCTGGATTTTTTTGGCAAGCAAAGTAATTCAAGTTTGAGCTTCTTTTTTCACACTCATTGTAAAATAAATTGGAGATTAATGGACGATCTGCTTGCTGCACTGCTTCTTGTCTGTTCTGCTTTCATTTTATTTGAGATAAATTATTTTAAATCTGCACATAAAGATGTTAGATTAGCTTCCCATTCATCATCTCCATCCTCCTCCTGATGGAACCAAGAGGAAACAAACCATCACTCTAGGTCAGCAAATGAACAGAAAATTAACCATTTAAACACTTTTAGACATTTAAATCTGTTTACAGAGATGGATCAGGAGATTAATGAGACACAGGTTAGACCGTGCAGGACCTCTCGCTCTCTGCTATCAAACTGAAACCACAGACTGCTGCTTTCAGCCGTTGAGCAGCTCCAATAATAAGTCAGGCGCTCCTGCAGTGTTTGATGTTATTGTGCTCTCATGCTGGTGCGAACCTTTGGCGTGGCTGTGCTCTGTTTTCATGGTGCAACACTCACATGAATGGAGACAATAAGTTCAACTTCATCTGTGATCATAAAGTAATAAAAAAAAAAAGAGAAGAGAAAAAAGAGTCAACACGGACATATTTTAAATAGGATCAAGCACACACACGATCATATGTGTTAGTGCAGCAGATATAAATCAGCCCTGGGTAACATGACAGCGTTATTTGAGTGTGATAAATTTGATTTAATAAATGTATTTGTTATGACAACATGCTCCTGAATGCAGCTCAACCAGTAGAGCCAGGCTGTTCCTGCTGCTGCTCTGATTACCTGACATGTAAGTGAAAGTCAAAGCTCTGTTAATGCACTCTAATAATCTCCGAAGTAAGAGTAGCCACAACCCCACTGGTGTTTTTCACGATTTCTGAAGTACAGTGTAGTTGGCCAGTAATGAAACAGAAATGTGTTGTGTGGTTTTGCTCTAAAAATAGCTAAAATAATAAATTAATTAAATTAAATGGAAATTTTTATTGATTAATGACATATATTAAGTCCCTCACATGGTTTACTTTTTGTTTCCTCTGCACAGAAACTTACGTTGCACCAGTGATGGGACATGGAGCCACTGTGGGTGGGATATAACTGATAAAATCATGCATGAGATGTGGGGCATCTCAGAAAACGTGTGAGGCTCAGTGAGTTAACCTCAGTCTGAATGTGTCACGGTGACAGTATCTGTGGATACTCTTTAGCATCGCAGAGGTTTTTACAAATACATACATACACATACATGAAAACCACAGTCATAAATCACCCTTGGAGATGTTCAAGTCTGTCAGTAGCAATGTGCCTCCACTGGAGGCGCCAAACAGCTACCTAAAGACTCAATAACTGTGATCAGTCTATTTAATAATATATAGATATCTAGACACGTATGCACTGATTTTATGATTATTTAAGAGTTACAATAATATGCGAATATGAAAAAAAACATTATTTTAGGCTACAGAATATATTTTATTATGATATGCTGTTATTCTTGTATTTGACAGGTAAAATGTGACCCCAACATGGCCTTCTGAAGCATAACCTGTTTGGTTGCTGGTTAAATGCTGAGGGTTGCACTGTGACACAGATTTCCGATCTCTTTGAAAATTCAGTATTTCTAAAAGTCAGAGTCTAAAAATGTTCCCCCAGTATTGTATTAGTACTTTTAGGGATTACTGTTTGTCTGTTTTTGTTTGTTTTTTTTGGTTTTTGATTATAAGTCTGAGGATCTGAGCTGTTTAAAGTGCGCAGCTCGAATATGTGGTTGTTGTCACGTGGCAGCAGCGCCCTCAGCAGCTCGCGCTCTGACACGACAAGAGCCCGTTTGACGTAACCAGAACATCCAAAGATGGCGGCGTTGGTAGGTGAGTGATGTTTTGACTGAAACTACACGCTTTTCTGTAGTCGTTGGTGTCTTTTTATACTCATGCTGCTCTGAGTATTTTAAAAATGAGCCCAGGGGAGTGAACTGCGCGGCGGCTTGGCTGCGTTTGACGGCCGGTTTGTAACTTTTAAGGAAAGCGCCGCTGACCTTGCTCTGTCTGTGTTAGCATAGCAGCTAGCCATGTTAGCATGCAGCAGTCACATTAAACAGATATTAAAACAGGCTTTGACAAATGTCGTGTTTAAACCAGCCAGACTGCTGTTATTTTAATTTACTAACGACTGCATCCATACTGGATTAAAGCTGGTGGCTCCCAGTGCAAGACGACAGGTTCGAAGTGCTGATCATGTAACCAAACTTGGTGTAAAAACTTTACAATTTTAGGATTGTCACCCGAGTTTGCGATCATCACAGCTTGAGAAGCACAAGTTAAAGACTTTTTGAAACGAGGCAGAAATTTTCTACTTTTCGGCTTTGATTTGATATGTTACAGACAGCAAAAAAACCTAATGCCTTTCCATTCTTAGATCCCCATCCCCACCATAAGGTTATAATAATATTTAAATGTTACACTTTATTTCTAGTGGATTGTGAACAGCTGGGTGCTGACATTACTTTAAGTGAACAGATGTTGCAGTGTAGTTTGGCATGCAGAGAAAGTGTTTCCCGTGTGCAGACATGGTGCTGCTCCTATAGCTTGCAAAAATCCTTCTTTGCATAGTTTGAGCAAAGGCCCCATTTATACACCTCTAGCTCTTGCACTCTCTCCGGTTGTTAAAGTTTCTTCACCTTGTGTAATAATGCGTTCTGTATTTATTTTGCAGCACCTCGCCTGGCCATATTTGGCTCTTTTTCAACAAGGTAAGAACCTTCTAATCTGGTTCCTTGTATTGAAACCGATGCTAATCCAGCCTTTTCCTGCTTACAGCTGTTACAGCATCACACTTTATAAGAGGTTCTCTTTATACTTGTGTACAAATGCATTCTGTATGCAGTCATCTTAAAAACAAATAACAAAAGGTAGTCACACATATAGAGTAGACCCGATTTTACTTCTCAACATTCTGAATTTGTTATTGGAGAAAATAACAAGACGAAGCAACCTCCAGAAAAAAACAAACACTGAAACATTTGCTGTTAGGTTTTATTCCTCCACATTGGCAAGCAGCAGCAGCCAGCCTGCGAGTTAATCCTTTAAAGCACCACCAGGTTTTGAAGGCTCAGGCAAAATTGCCATCGCATCGCCCTCAAAGAAATCCCCCCCATCTGTCCGTCACCCGGTACCATCAAATGATGATAGCATTTCAAATGCTGTCTTTTTGTGAAGCTGAGAGCTTTTGTGGTGCATTATTTTATTGTTAGGAGTGGCTTTAACATTTAACATCCTGCTATGTCTAACTGTTACTTCTGTCCCCGCAGGCCCATTTCAGTTTTCGCTCTTCAGCACAAGAGCCTGCACAGCACTGCTAAAAATGATAACAACAGCTCAAGGTGAGTTTAAGAGAGAGATTCTGTGGTAACAGATACATTCAAACTAATGCGCATGGTAAAACTCT